TGAATCATAATGTGGAGTTTCTTTGTCAAAAATTTCTGCCAGTCTTGCTGGCTCAGTGGGAGACATAGTATTCTGTGAGCAAAATCATCTGTCATGTCATGGGGGGGTGACTCATTGTATATGAATTCTCACTGTTGAAGTATGAATTAGAGCTAAATTTAGTTTAGTGCAGTTTTGCTGTTCTGAAGGAAAACGGTGATGACAAAGCAGATCTTTTTCAGCTTACTGAACGCCCTGGGCCTGAAAGCACGCATTTATACAAATGATGTCCCAAAACTTTCATTTTATATTAAAGAGCTAAAGAACTAAGTCCAAGAAAAGAGAAGACAAGGGGAAATCTTTGATTCTGCAGGGTGTGAGGTGCAGCTGGGGAGGACGATCCAAGCTCAGAGGCAACAGACAGAAAGAAAACACTGAATGATTTTAGCAAAAGAAACAAGTCACTGTGCATTTAACAAGAAACCACAATTCAAAGGGAATTGGGGGAAATGTTTGCAATAAATATGTCAGACCAATGTGAAAGGTGCATGCAAACCTGTAGGAAAAACTCAGGACCCTAATACATGATAGCAGATGTCCATACATCATTTGTAAAAGGGGAAACATGATTAGACACATGCTGGAAATGCTCATTCTCACTGGCAGTCAGAGAAATGCAAGTAAAAGGGAGATCACAGTTTTATTCATTAAGCGAGTAATTTTTTTAAGCTGATAAACCTGGTGTTGAATTTAGGCTGAAGACAGAGATACCCTCGTCCACAGTGACTGTGAGGTAGTACTAACTTGTTGGAGATCATTTGGACAGTGGGGATTAGACACCCTTTAAAATGGTCCTCCCCCATGAACTAGTAATCCCAGCTCTAAGATTCTCACCTAAAACAAAAGTCCAAGAGTGGGAAACTATGATGCACAAATACATTTATGGCAGTATTACTCAGGTATCAATATTACTTAGATGTCAGGGATTGGCTGAGAAGACCGTGGCATAGCTTCTCACCGGAATAGTATGAGGATGTAACAATATGGAAAAGAGAGATTAGGTAAAAAGAAGGGCACGAAAGTATAAATATGTTATGACAAAAAAAAATACAATGTATAAAAATCAAGGAAGGGTTGAAACTTAATGTCTCCACGAAAGCTTGGACATGGATAAACACTGCTGGCAGTGTTATTCATAATGGCCCAAGCTTGGAAGCAGCCAACATATTCTACGGTACAGGAATGGATAAAAAAGCTGTGGTACATCCAGACAGTGGAGTATCATTCAGGGCTAATAAGACATGAGCTATCAAGCCATGAAAAGACTTGGAGGAAACTTTATTTTTTTTTCTTTTTCTTTTTTTTTTTTATTATGTTATGTTAATCACCATAACATTTTTGATGTAGTGTTCCATGATTCATTGTTTGCCTATAACACCCAGTGCTCCATGCAGAACGTGGCCTCTTTAATACCCACCACCAGGCTAACCCATCCCCCCACCCCCTCCCCTCTAGAAACCTCAGTTTGTTTCTCAGAGTCCATAGTCTCTCATGGTTCGTCTCCCCTTGGAGGAAACTTTAAATACTAAGTGAAAGAAGCTGCTACCTAGTGTATGATTGCACCTATGTAAGATTGCCGAGAAGGCAAAACTATGGAGACAGTAAATAGATTTGTGGTTGCCAAGGGTTGGGGGGCAGGAGGGATGAATGGGTGGAGCACAGAGGTTTTGGGGGCAGTTCAGCTATTCGGTCTGATACTACACGGTGGATACATTATGTATTTGTCCAAACCCATGGAACTCACCCAAAGGGAGCCCTAATGTAAATTATGGACTTTGGGTGCTAATGATGTCTTGATGTAGGTTCATCAGTTATAACAAACGTCCCACCATGGCGGGGGATGTTGATGATGGGAGAGGTTGCACATATGGCGGGGGGGGGGGGGGGGCATATGAAAAATCTCTGTACCTTTTGCTCCGTTTTGCCGTGAACCTAAAACTTCTCTAAAAAAAAAAAAAATGAAGTCCATTAAAAAAATTAAGCAAGAAAGAGGAAAAAGACTGGAAATATTTAAATAGGCTGTGTTTTGGTTAGGCTAGACTTATTTATTTTCCTTTTTCTCCATGCCTGTAATTACCATTTGAAAACATGAACGTGCATTAATTTATAATGGAAAGAAAAAAATAAACAAAGAGTTTAAAGCTATGAGATGAAGCTGTACCTGCAGTTGTGTATTTAAACAGTTCTGAGAGTTTTTGATCCCTTGTTTCTTCTTAGTGGTCAGCGTTTTGTAAACGCACATTCCTTTGGGCTATTTGTGAGTTTACACAATTGACCCTGTACTCTCAACTTATGGCCAGTTGGAGTTTCAGTTCCCAGTAAAAATAAGCCATCTTTGGGGACTCTCAGCACAATCTGTATTCTTGGAATCTTTCCCACAATGCGTGAGTCAGTCTTTGTTAATTTTAAAAACCCTAGGACTCTAGGGCCGCCTGGGTGGCTCAGTCGTTAAGCATCTGCCTTGGGCTCAGGTCATGATCCCAGGGTCCTGGGATCGAGCCCCGTGTCAGGCTCCCTGCTCCGCAGGAAGCCTGCTTCTCCCTCTCCCATTCCCCCTGCTTGTGTTCTCTCTCTCACTGTCTCTTTCTGTCAAATAAATAAATAAAATCTTAAACAAAACAAAACAAAACCCTAGAACTCTGTTAGAATAGCCTACCTTCTCTTAAGTGTATGCAGATATTTATTTGTGTTTAATTTACTGTTTTGCAATGATTGTTTTTTTAATGATTATACAATCACATGGTTTAAAAATTAAAATTAAAAAGTTAAATAATTGGGGCGCCTGGGTGGCTCAGTCGATTAAGCGTCTGCCTTTGGCTCAGATCATGATCCCAGCATCCTGGGATCTAGTCCCACGTTGGGCTCCCTGCTCAGCAAGAGCCTGCTTCTCCATCTCCTGCTCCCCCTGCTTGTGCTCTCCCTCTCTTTCTGTCAAATAAATAAAATCTTTAAAAAAAAAGGTTAAATAATTGACTAAAAATATATATAGTGATAATTCTTCCTGCCTGGTCTCCCATCTGCTTTGTTCCTCAGCACCCCCATTTTAAGGAACCACTATTTTATTTTTTTAATTTTATTTATTTATTTATTTATTTATTTATTTATTTATTTATTATTTGAGAGAGAGTGAGCAAGCAGGCGAATGGGGCGAGGGGCAGGGGAAGAGGGAGAGGCAGAGAATCCCAAGCAGACTCTGTGCTGAGTGTAGAGCTGGACGTGGGACTCCATCTCATGACCCTGAGATCATGACCTCAGCTGAAGGCAAGAGTTGGACGCTTAACCGACTGAGCCACCCAGGTGCCCCAGGAACCACTATTTTAAAATTCTTTGGACTGCTTCCAGAATTTCTTTATGCATGTATATGCAAACACTAATATATATTTTTATTTTTCCCTATTTTTATACAAAAAGGGGCACATTTTATACATTGTCTAACACCCAGCTTTTCCACTTAGCAATGTATCTTTCCTCATCAGCGCATAAATAGCTTCTTACTCCTCTTTGCAGCTACAGAGAACCCCACATGTGTATTTGTAGACTCACCACCATTTCCTTAACCAGTCCCCTGCTGATGGACAATTGGGTTCTTTCTGATCCATTGCTATCAACAACAGCACCATAAGGACGATTCTTACATGTACATTTCATACACGTGCAGGGATATCCACAGAATAAATTCCCGGAAGTGAAATTGCTGGGTCAGAGTATAAGCCTCTATAGCTCTGATTGCCAAATTATTCTGATTGCCAGGTTATTCTGATTGCCAAGTTATTCTCCTTCGGGAAGGGTTTACACTCATACCAGCCCTACTTCTGAGTGCCCGATTCTCTACATCCTTGGCAAAAGAGTGCTTTGCTTCCAGTGTGATTATTGTCATTCTGATGTGTGGAGAAAGGAAGTGCAGTGTGTTTTAATTTGGCTTCCTTTCGTGAAGGAGCCTTAGCGTGTTTTCATAGGTAAGAGCCTTTCCTCTCATGTGATAACTGCTTACTGCCTTCCTTCATTTTGATTATTAGGCAGTTGGTCATAGTCTTACGGACTTCTAGAAATTCTTTATGTATTAGGGAGATAACCTCTCTTGGTAACTGCACCTACCTGACTGGAACATGTGTCTCAGGACAAGAGATTCTGAAAGGGGCCTTTGCTGGAGCCAATACGACACATTTGAGTTAAGAGTGATAGCCATTCAAGGAAGTGCGTGGACTCCAGCCCACATGTAGCATCAAGGTTTCCCATCAAGCCAGTCTGTGTGTGTAACTTTTGTCACTTAACGCCTTTACATCTTGGTTTTCTTACCTGCAATATAAGGCTTATCAGTACCATCATTCTGGGTAACACATACAAAGAACCTGATAGCACAGTGATTGCACAGGGCCAGATAACTGAAAACACCCACAGCCCTCCTCAGGGTGAAGCTGCTTCTCTCTACTAAAGGTAAAGTTACAGCAGGAAAAGAAAGTGTGAACAATCATGGGGGACCCTGGAGAATTCTGGGTGCAGCTCCCACAGTCCTTTGGCCCTTGCATAGGAGGTGCTCTATTTGTGGATTGTGAACCATAAAAATACGTGCAAATCTTAGTTTTAGGGTAGCTCAAGCAGAAGTTTCTAATCGTTTCTTAATACCCTACTGGTGATGTGGCCAAGCCAGACTGTGTTCCTGATGCAACCTGTATAAACCATCAATCTCTGCATCTGTAACTGTGTAGACAAGCTGGCCCTGGATCTCTCCAGGGATCTTTGAACGTTAAACAGCACATTATACATCACTAACTAGCTCACCTCACCATCCTTATCTTAGCCACAGGTCAGTACTAGACCTCCCAGCATCCCTGGAGACCAACATAGAGTGATCCCAGTCCAGCTGTAAGAGAACTTCACCTTACGTAGGTACTCAGGAAGCCCACAGAAACTATGGCTTCCTTTCCCTTTTTCTGGAACAAACCTGCTTTTGCCTTTACCAGGACTCTCTTCTTGTATAGCTCAGGGGAGACCGTGACCAGTGTGACCAGCTTGGCTCCACTGCAACCCAAGAAGGGCAAGAGGCGGAAGGAGAAGGCCGACGTTCCTCCTGCAGTGCCTGCCAAAGGTAGGAGGCTAGCCTACAGTTACCCACGTGGGAGCCAGCACGGCTGATCTAGAAGTGGGTCTGGGGTCTGCAGTGGGATCGGGACGGGGGAGTAGACAGATGGAGGATGTGACATCTGCTGATGATATGGCTTGCAGAACCTCACCTAGATTCTGATCATAACTGAGCCCCATCACCGAGGTGGGGCTGGGGGTGGTGCGCTGGCCCAGCATGACATTAGTGGGGAGATGGGAGGGGGGAGGTCAATGTGCACAGATTGATTGCACAGTGTACTTCACCTTGAACTATTAACATTCTCACACATAGTAGGGTGGGACAAAGGGGTATCAACATCTTCTTGGTTCATTCAAGGGAATGAAGCCTCTCTGATTTTTCTAAGGATGTAAACCAGGTATGTAGTTTATTTTGGATTTGTTCTGGGGATAAAATGAGGGTTAGTCTTTGATTCCAGTTGTAATGTAGAGCAACATAGGTGAGAAAGATGAATGTTTCTGGAGAACTGCTCATGTCTTAGGAGAACTGAGACCATTTACAGATAGTTCCTAAAATAACTGTGGCCAGTTTTGGAGATGTTCATACCTCAAAGAGTTTGAAATGTAGTTGGAAGTACTAGGACTGTCCCCTAGAGATCCTTGGGGTCCTGTGCTAAAAGCCACTGGTGCTCAGGCTGAACACATGTTGGGTAGACAGAGGAGCTGGAAGGCCTGGGCATTCTGGGAGGCATGACAAGTTGTCAGTCTGGGGAGGGAAGGGGGCAGAGAACCCTGCGTAACGTCTCATTCAATCAGAGTAGATAGTACCTTACCTTACAAAAGATGAGAGTGAGCCTCAGAGAGCTAAGTGGTAGAGTCTGGCTTGGAGGTGAGGCTGCCTAACTTTCAAGGTCAAGTTCAAGTTCCAAAACATTGAAGTACTCATTACATGATATTTGGGGGGGAAGAGCCTCAATTTTCTCCTCTGTTAAATGGGGACAATAAGACCCGCCTCCCTGATGACCTCTGAGGGCTGCTCTGAGGGTCGGGGTCACTGCTTTAACTGTTACTGTGTAGTTAGGATGAAGCCCAGGGAAGTTCCCGGCCTCAGGCTTTACCAGACATACCTGGTTCTCACCTGCACACCTGACCTCTTGGTAGCTGGCAGTGTTTTATGCAGAGTTGTTTCATTGACCTTGCTGTTGGGAGATTATGACATGTCCAAAGACTAGGGGAGGATTGCTCTCCATGGAGGGGCACCCAGTGATGCCTAGATCAGAAACCGAACTTCTTCCGTGGGGGCAGGGAGGGGTACGTGAGTCTCCACAGAGTATGTCTGTGATGCTCATGCTACGTGGGTGTTACAAGTCCTGGAGGAAATGCAAGCTAAACCCTTGACATCCTTCCACAGCTCCCATAGCTACCACATTCCATAAACCGAAGCTGCTGAAACCACAAAGGAAAGTCGCCCTGGTGAGTAACCATATTCTGTGTTGTTGTTGTCCCCTCAAGCCTTAAACACACGTGAGGTCCAAGGAGTACCTTGACTGACTCAAAATGTGCTGCAAGTTCTTGGTGCTTCCGTCCCCAAATAAAGGCATTCTCTCTTCTTGGGTCAGCTTTTGAGCCACCTTTTCTTCACATCTGGTTCCCGCAGTGGCTTTTATTTATTTATTTTTTTTAAAGATTTTATTTATTTATTTGAGAGAGAGAGAATGAGAGACAGAAGTACATGAGAGGGGGAGGGTCAGAGGGAGAAGCAGACTCCCCGCTGAGCAGGGAGCCCGATGCGGGACTCGATCCAGGGACTCCCGGATCATGACCTGAGCCGAAGGCAGTCGCCCAACCAACTGAGCCACCCAGGCGCCCCCGCAGTGGCTTTTAAAAAATCCAGGGAGAACCATGTTCCATTAGAAATGCTGTTTTTCAAAAAGAAGGGGGAAAAAAAAAGCCACACTCCAGAAGGTATAAATAGAATATGGACCTGTTTATGTAAATTTACCTGATAACGACTCTGAAGAGACTGCTGAAGAACCTTCCAGAAAATATGTCATAGCTATTTATTTTGAAATAACTGTAGATTTACAGAAGAGTTGTAAAGACACGGCGAGTTCCTGTCTGCTCTTCACCCACCTTCTCCTAGGGTGAGCATCTCACATGGCCCTGGTGTCTTTGTCAAAAGTAACATTACCATCAGCACATTGCCGTTAACCACACTCCAGACTTCGGCCAGATTTCAGCAGTTTCTCCACCCATGTTCTTCTCCTGTTCCAGGATCCAGTTCAAGATATCACATTGCACTTAGTTGTCGTGCATCCTTAGTCTCCTCTAGTCTGACGTTCCCTAATCTTTTTTTCTTTTGTGGCCTTGACACTTCTGAAGAGAAGCAGCCAGTTATTTTTTTATAATGTCCCTTGATTTGGCTTTCTCTGAGATTTTCTGATGAGTAGAGATGAGGTTCTGGATTTTGGACAAGAATACAGAAGTGGTATTTCCTCCTCATGGCATGTTTTTGGGGATGCATGATATCAATATGTCTTATTAGTGACATTAATTACGATAGCTTGGTTCGTTAGGGTGGTGTTTTCTGGGCTTCCTCCATACAAAGTTACTATTTTCCCCTTTCCATACCTGTTTGTTAGAAGCCAGTCACTAGGGACGCCTGGGTGGCTCAGTCGGTTAAGCGTCTGCCTTCGGCTCAGGTCATGATCCCAGGGTCCTGGGATCGAGTCCCACATTGGGCTCCCTGCTCGGTGGGGAGCATGCTTCTCCCTCTCCCTCTGCCTACCACTCCCCCTGCTTGTGCTCTCTCTCTCTCTCTGACAAATAAATAAATAAAATCTAAAAAAAAAAAAAAAGCCAGTCACTAAGTCCAGTTCACACTCAGGGGGAGGAGAGAAGCTCCCTGTTCTAAAGGAGGAATATTAAAGAATTTGTGGACATCTGTTAACCACCACAGTAATTAATAAATATTTTAGGGGAGATATGTCAAGTATAAGCAAATATCCTGTTTTTCCTTGAACTTTTGCCCACGATTTTAGTGTTCATCAATGGATTTTGCTTGTAGCAGTTATTGCTATGGTGTACTGATGGTGGTTTTGTATTTTCCTTAATCCTTCTATTTTTACTGGGGCACCTGGGTGGCTCAGTCGGTTAAGCGTCTGCCTTCGGCTCAGGTCATGATCCTGGGGTCCTGGGATCGAGTCCCACGTCGGGCTCCTGGCTCGGTGGGGAGTCTGCTTCTCCCTCTGCCTCTCTCCCTGCTTGTGCTCTCTTTCTCTCTCTGTGTATCTCTGTCTCGAATAAATAAAAAAATCTTTTAAAAAATCCTTCTATTTTTACTACTTGAAATTCTTTTGTAAGGAAAAGCTGGACACCTTCTCTCATTTATTTATTCACTAATTTCTATCAGTATGGGTGCATGGATATGAAAAATTTTAAGTTCTAATTATTTACTTTGTCGCTAACATTGCTTAGCAGTTGTATATTTGTGTGTGAGAGAAAGAGAGACAGAGAGAGACAGACAGGCAGAGGGGGAGGGAGAGAGAGAGAGACTGAGAGGCAGAGATATTGGCAGCCCTATTCTAAAATGTGGATGTACTGGGAAGGGCTGAAATGATCTTGAAGGAAAAGAACAAAGTGGAGAATTTATATACCAATTCTCAAGACTTACCTTAAAGCCACAATAATTAACAAACTATGATATGAGCACAAAGATAGATAAATAGATCAAAGGAACAGAATAAAGAGCTCCAAACAGATCTATATATGTATTGTCACTTGATTTATTACAAAAGTGACATTGCAAGTCAGGGGAGGGATTACTTTTCAATATAGGGTGATAGGTCTGTTGGATATCCATATGAAGAACAATGATCCGTTACCCCTGCTTTATACCATAGACAAAAATTAGAGAAGAATCATAGACTTAAATAGGAAAGGTAAATATAAAGCTTCCTAAAGATTGCGTATCTCCCTAACTTCAGCTCAGGCAAAGACTGTTTAAAACAAGACTCCCTAAGTACCGACCATAAAGGAAAAGATGGAAAAATTTGGATTACCTTAAAATTTAGAATGTTGATTGTTGGGGTGCCTGGGTGATTGGGTTGGTTGAGCATCCAACTCTTGATTTCAGCTCTGGCTGTGATCTCAGGGTTGTGGGATCGAGCCCCCTTTGGACTCCATACTCAGTGCGGAATTGGCTTGAGATTTTCTCTCTTCCTCTCCCTCTGCCCCTCCCCCTGCTCTCTCTCTATCTCTCTAAAAATAAAAATAAATAAATAAAAAATCTTAAAATTCAGACTGTTGATTGTGATTTAAAGGCACCAAGAAAGAATGCAAAGGCAAACCACAGTTTGGAAGAACATCCAGCATGCATGCATCTAACAAAGGATTCTTATCTAGAATGTCTGAACACCTACAAATCAATAGGAAATAAAAGGACAACTCTACAAAAAAGTATAATAAGCAGAAGTCTTCAACATGCACTTCACAAAAGGAGATACACCAATAGTAAGCACATGAAAAGTATTTAACCTCATTGGCATCATGGCAATGCAAGTTAAAAAGCGTAAAGTTTACATCTAGGAGGATGGCTGAAATGGAACACTGGTTTCTTTTTTTTGCCTGTTTTTCTCTGACCCATTGGGAATTTGGGAATGTATCCAGTTTTATCTGTTTGTCAGATTCTTTTTTATTTTACTTTATGTTTTGTGTTTCAATAATCATTCCTTGCCAGTTTTATTAAACTTCATCCCTACATTCTAAGCAGTTATTTGAACTAAACATTTACTAACTTTATTATTATTCTTTCTTGAATCTAATGTCTTCTCCCCAAATATCTTTCTTTGCATTTACATTTGAGCAATTTGCCCGGGAATGGAATTCTAGTTTTATAAGCTTTTTCCACTCTGTTCTGAGAAATAAGCTGAATACTTTATGTTCATTTCTATTTACTTCCCATATTGCCCAGGGTAAATGCCAAACTCCATACTGTGGCCTATAATACCCTATATCATACAAGCCACATACGTCATTTAAATTTTTTAGTATCCACATTAAAGAAGGAAAAAGAAACAGGTGGAACCAATTTTAATAATATGGTTTATTTAACCCAGTATAGCAAAAAGATTATCATTTAAACATATAATCTATGCAGAAATTATTCATGAAATATTTTACATGCTTTTTATTCTCCAAAGCCTTCAAAATCCAGTGTATATTTTACACCTACTGCACATCTCATTTCAGAGCCACATTTTCAGTGCTTAACAGCCACATTTGACTAGTGGCTACCATATTGGAAAGCTCAGCTGTATATGATCCAGCCCCCATTAGCTCTTTGACATCATTTTTGCCACTGTCTCCCTTCTTTGTTTCCCTCTGGCCATCCTGGCCTCCTTGCTAGTCCTTAAACATACCAGGCATGTTCTGGAAGGGCGTTTGCACCAGTTGTTCACTCTGCCCGGAACGTTCTCCCCAGGATATGCTTGCGGCTTGTCACTCACCCCGTAAGGTCTCTATGCAGATATCACCTTGATGGAGAAACCATCCTGAAATCCTATATAAAACACTGCTCACCCTCTGACGGCGCTCCTCATGACAGACACCCTGACATACTTTATATTTATCTATTAATTGCCTCTCCCTTCTACCAGAGTGCACGGCCCATCAAGGCAGGGAGCTTGTCTGCTCTGGTTGTGCGATGTCCTCCGTGCCCAGAGCAGGGTCCAGCATGATGGAGATTCATTAATGACTGCACACCAGCTCCGTGGAGTAGGTTCTGTCATTCTGCTTTTACAGATGGGCATAGTGAGATGCAAAGTCAGTGAGGAGCAAGATGGAACCCAAGGTCACGCACACTTGAATCTGCTTCTGAATCCAAAACATGCTCATTTGGATTCTTGCCTCAGAGTGGAGCCTGGGTCGGGTGGCTCTTTGGGCGTGGGTCGGACATACTGTCCTGGCTCGGCCTCACCCCCGCTCTTGCTGCTTTGCACCCATATTTCCGGCTGTTCCATCGGAGAGGCTGATTCACCTGTTTCCAAAGAGAGCCTTCTTTTGCCTGCAGTGAATTGTGGGTTCCAATGGACTTTTCATTCCATGTGATTCCCTCTGGTTCAGATCATCAAAAGTTCCTCACCAGTTCTGCTCTGTTCACTACCCCTGTCTTGTCCTCAAATGCCACTGGAGAGTCTTTGCTGATTTTAATAGATCTCTGGCCATTCAATGGGCTTTTGGAAACTCAGTGGGGCACGAAGGCTAAACCTATCAACTTTTCTCACTCCCTCAACTGTGCATATCACTGCGCATCTGTGTGAGTATGTGTGTATCTTTTTCAGATCTTTCCTCCTTGTTCTGATATTTATCAAAACCTCAAGAAAGGATGTGCCTTGTAAATTTTCCCACCTTACTTTCTGTCTTAGTTGCTCAGGAGTTTTTGCTTATAATCCAAAATTTTAGCCCTGGTAATA